TGTAAAAGGATAATCATTATAGAGCTATATGTAATTTTTTAAAACTGGAAGAAATCTGTATTTTAATACAAACTAAAACATATGTGATGCATTGAGTGAAGGACTATGCAGCCATGAAAAAGAACAAGAGTAGACCTTTGTGTACACCAACATAGAACAAGCTCCAAGACTGAAGTGCTGTATAAAGAAGCAAGATGTACACAGGGTATATAGTATGCTGTTTTTTTTTTTAAAGAAAAACACATATACATACTTTACACTGAACCAAACGAAACCACCTATATTGACTTATAAAAATGGCAACTTCGTTGGATTCAACTTAGTAAGTGCTTGTATAAAATATGAAAGAAACACACAAGGATCTACAGAGAGGAATCAGGGCAAGGGTCTGAGTTGGGCAAAAGTTTTCAGTTTATTCTTTTGTATTCTTAACTTTTCCCAACCTGCATCTGTAACTGCTTTTTATAAGTGGGTGCACTCCAAGGAAGGCTGAGAAAACAACTGTTTTCTCCAAAAGCAAATTCAGCAGCTAGTAAGTGAAACTAAAGAGACCACACAGGTAAGAGAAATAAGTTGACAAACCAAAACTGGCACTAAGCTCCTCCCACACACTAGGATTTTTTAAAATCTCAGACCAGGTGTTCTCCCTCTCCTTTACTCTTCCCTCTCCTCCACCCCCTCAGGCACTTAACCATTAGCTTCCTCACTCCCAAGCTCCAAGGGCCCTTCAACTCTATTTCCGCCTACAACCGAGGTATGTGCCCTTGACTGAAACCGAAGCCCAGACCCTTTAGTCCGTAGGCCGATGCTCTATCCACTGAGCCAAACCAACCAGGGCTACTTGTTTTCTAAGCCCATTTCTTCTAGGAATTAATTCTTCTACTTCTGTGATTTACCAAATAAATGTTCTCTTACCAAAAAAGAAAAAAAATTTCAGAACATACAATTGAGTTAATTTATACCTCTGGCCTCAGAGAAATACAGATGAGAGCGGTCATTTAAACTCTATCTGCCCACTATTTCACAAGCTGGGTTCTAATTAATAGACTTATGTTATATGATGGGTAACTAAACTGAAAATTTCAAATGACTTCAGTTACAACTACCACTCTAAAATGCCCTTTAACTACCAAGTTGTATTTGAAACGTGAACTTCCAGAAGACTAGAATAAAAGGACACGTCATCCAAGCCACGGGTTCTGGGACACACGGCACACATCCCTCTGGCTACAGGACTTGGCAGGGACAAGCTGTGACAGGAGGCGGCACATTCCCCACATTCCCAAGTACAACCTCCTGCAACCGCCACAGACCTGGAGGTGTGATAAGGGTTCTGCCTGGCTCCCAAAGTGCTGGTCTACTTACACACTGTGGGACTGGCATTTAAAACCACCACTGCCTCCGCCATGTTGACCCTTTCAGAATGCACTTCCCTCACCTCGGGTTCCCTGCCCTTGGTCTTCCTTACATTTCTCTCCTTTCAAGGTTCTTTTTCACTTGTTTCATCCTTGCTGTTCAGTGATCACTGTTTTTGTTTTTCTTTTTCATCTTAACATGCACATTTTTAATTGCACTGTATTGTTTAGCAAATATTTCAGGTACACATAAAAGTAAGTAACATTAACATAATGCACGCCACATACCAGCTGAGCAAGATCTTAACGTTTTGCCGTTTGCTTCAGATCTTTTGGCAGAAGTCTGTCACAGTGGACATCCCGGGTACCACTCTCCCATCTCCAACCTTGTTCCCTCCCTCGCTTCCTCCCTTCCTCCCACAAGACAGCCACTCCCCTGGTTTTAAAGTGCCCATGCATTTTAAAACATTTTTAACACATAGTAATTATGGAGATGCATATCATTTTGCATGTTTTTAAACATATAAACAGTATGAGACCATTAAAATCATTTCTGCAACTTGCATTTTCACTCAGCGTTGTATTCATTTTACCAATTGCACAGGTTTCCATTGTATGAATATACCATATACCATTACTGATTTATCCATTCCTACTGATGGACATTAGGCTGCTCCCATTCTTTACGTTTACAAACAATGCTATAATGAAGCCTTGCACGTCTCTTCTTGGTACACAGCTGCGAGTTTGGCGGGGGCTGCAGAGGGCGCATGTTCTTCAGCTTGCCAACCTGCTCTCCAACGTGGTGGCACCAATTTACACTTTCTCCAGCGGGTATGCAAGTTCCCTTCATTCCACATCCTCTCATACACTTGGTATAATGAGTTTTTTACACTTTTGCCAATCTGACAGATACGGAAAAAAAGACTCATACTTTTTAGCCTGCATGTCCTGTAAGGATGGTCGTATTCACTGGCCATTTGGACCATTTCTTTTTTCCCCGCCTTTCACATTGCCCTCTGGCTCTATCACCACCTCTCTGTGGCGATTACTAGAGACTCTACGTCCAGGCTGCCTGGGTTCAAACTCTGGCTCCATCACATCCCCCTAGTGTCCCAGGACACTTTGCTCAACCTTCCTAGGCCCCTCATCTACAAAGACCCACCACTCACAGGCATGAGGGTGTTGTGAGTCAACGTGTGTAAAGTGCTCAGAACAGTGCCCAAGGGGGGATGCTTCACCCCCATCTGTCTCTGGAGCTGCTCAGCCAGATTCCCACGACACATCTACCAACCCCAACACGCAAGAGCTTCAAAACATCTCAACCTCAGAAACTCAGATAAAGGACAGGTGTCCTATGTCAATGGCACTTCTGGCAGCATGTTCTTTTCTGAAGCCACATCATCTACTCTCTGATCAGGAGCTGTATGTACTATGGATTCAGAAAACATCATGCCTACTTTACTGAGCCAGTCGCGTAAAGAACGTGCGAGGTGGGGAACACCAGCAAAACCAGGGCGGCGTGAGGGCTCTGCCATTAAAGAGGCACCCGAAGCACACTGGTGATTAAGAGACTGCTGCTGACCTCCTTCCAGTGAAAACCTCAATGGTGCTGAACCTCAAGCTAGACTACCAGGAAGGAGCACAGGCAGATGCACAGCCCTGCTCTTGACCTTGACCTCACCAGGCTACCTGGCTTCTGTATGTGTACTCTGATGCACCTCCTTTGCAGCCGCGTTTTAGGAGAATCCTCCCTGAGTGTAGCATCTGACACTCAGGAAGAGGGCAGAATCCCCTGGTCTGCCTCTCAGCTCCCACAGCTCCCCCCTGCAGAGTGAATGACCTTCCACCCACTCAATGTTTCAGATCAGGCACCTCCATTTTCACAGGCGGCCAGCCACATTGCTAACCTATTCATGTTGAAAACATTAAGATTCACCTTCAAACAGCATGGGATATCTGCAATTCTGGACCTAGCCAGAGGCAATAATCTAATGGCATTTGCAGCTCATTCCTTGTCAGAACAGTTGAGGACAGTGGTAGTGATGGAAGACTGTGCCAAGCCCATCCATTCCTCTAGTCTAGACAGCCCGGCTTATCCACGGCTTAAGCCATCTAAAAGCCTCATAACATAATACAGCGATATTCTCCAAGGTGGTTGGATTACTGGTGATTTTTATTTTCTTCTTTTTAAACTCTTGTATTTTCCAAATTTTCTACCATGAGAATGTTTTCTGTTCACGATAAAAGAAAAACATGTTATTTTTAAAGCTACAAACTTGGAATATACTTCTTCCCCACTCCCGCCCTCCCACATCCCAAGATAAGGGCTTTCACTGAGAAACAACTGACACTGACTCTGCTTTCTTGAGAAAAAGTAACAGAAACTAGGAAACTCCAGACAGCACTTTCCAGGAGCTTTTCCGATGAACAGAATATTGCTGAGGTTCTCCTCTGCTCATCGCTCAACTTGTAGCACCTGTAAGCCACAAACTCCAGAAAAACACTGTTTCACCTAAGCAATTGGTGCCCGCTTTCTTCATGGACAGAGAGAGTTATGTCACTTGTCAAATTTTCTTTTTATTTTGACCTTTCTGTTGAAAGGTCAGACACAAATAATAAGCAGGACCGCCTGCCTATGCCACTTTATTATGATGATCCTAGGCTCTAACCTGCTTCTTCAGTATGCTTTGTTTTTATATTCTTCTACTGAATGGATGTATTCATTTTTTAAAATATTTTTTTTAATTTATTTCAGAGAGGAAAGGAAAGGGAGGGAGATACAGAAACATCAATGATGAGAGAATCATTGACTGGCTACCTTCTGCACGCCCCCTAGTGGGGATCAAGCCCATAACCTGGGCATGTACCCTGACTAGGAATCAAACCAATGAGCACACCGGCCGGGCTGAGTGACTATATTTTTGAAGATCACCTAAACCTTTACTGTAAGACAGGACGTAATTAAATGGAACCGCTTACCCTGCTCAAGAGTAATGCTTATAATTTATGCTTATTATAATTTATGTCCTAAGGTTTTTAAACTGAGGAACAACAAAATCATAGCATAGTGTCAACTATCTTTCTCAATAAATAAAAGCTAAGTTTGACATTAGGAACTAAAAATTCACTATATTTCACTCTCATAGTTAAACCATTATATTTCTTTTCCTTTTCACTTATGAACACTTACTAAATTATGCTATACCAGGGTAGAGGAAACAAGCACAACTTCTTCCAGAACTTTACAGATTAATTAATAGAGCAAAAGGATGTAATTTAATGTAAGTGTTATAAACACAGACTTTTATATCATCAGAGAAGACCCGTGTTTAAATCGTGGCATCACTACTTACTAATAGTCTGAGTTTGTCCAAATGTAAATGTGGAGAAAAACATTACCTACCTATTTAGGGTGTTGTGAGAATTAAGTAACATAAGAAAAGTACTTAAAATAATGTATAACATGTTACCCACTCAATCAGAATGACCACTGTTACTGTGGTTGTTATATAGATCGCTTACAGAGCCCTCTTTTAACCATTTCACTATTTCTGCCAAAGAACTACTGAAAGATTTTCTTGCATGCCTGCAAAACAGAAATGGGTGTTTAGCATAATAATCAGGGAACCCTAACCAACTTACCTGAACTGTCCCGTGCGAAGAAAACAAAGAGCTCGGTTACCATAAAGATGGTAGTTTTCAGGACTTTAAAAGAAATAATGTTTGGTCAGTTAAGGAAATTACATATGAAACTAACAAAAATCATACAGAAAACCTAAGGCATGAAAAAAATTTCAAAACCTTTACGTCTGTGTGGCAGAGCAGAAAGAATATAGGGTTTGAAGTCCTAACTGGCTAAGTCCTGATTCCTTCACTTTCTACCTGAGTAACTGCTCAAATCATCCTCAACTTCCCCATATTCAAAATAAAGATTCCCACTTTTCCGGCCTACCTCATACAGCTGTTGTGAGGATCACATGAGACACATTAACAAGCTAGAATGACAAGTGTGCTGTAACTGTGCAGGAGAGAATTACATATCTAAGTTAGGACTGTACACACTGACAAAGAACTCAAAAGAAGCCTGTAAATTAACAGTAATTTAAGAGCTTCACTTCAAATTCTGCCCTCTTTAGTCTTCTCTGACTACACGTGGTGGAACTTCTTCCCTTTCCTCCGCCTCCTCAGAACGAAGCAGCAGCCTCTCGGGTGTGCCACGCTACCCTGATCCGCTCGTTCCCCGTGGAGACCGGCAAGGTAAGAGAGTAACAGCGCACCCCCCCAACACTGCTACAATATTAGGTGGACCAGCTAAGATGCCGAGGGAGGCACACTTGCAAAAATGCTACCAAATTCTAGCAGCTGAGCAAAGGGAAGACGAGGTGGAGGGAACGCATGCATTCTCAACAATCCCAACTATTATTCTTTAAAAGTTCCCTCTTAGAAAGCAAAAATCCTTAACTGGGTGACATCTTAAGAACTAGTAAGTAACCCTTTGTGACCAGTTAATAAATTGAGAGAAATTAGTTGAAAGCAAAATGAAAATAAGGAAGAACATATGAGTCTGTCTAGACAGCTTGAAAGAAAACGAAGGTGGGCAGAACGGAATTCACAATTTTGCAAGACTTGCCCGACTGGTACTATCTGATGAAGTTCATACACTCAGACCACCTCTACTGCTCCCAGCGCCTCTGAGTGAGAACCTCTATTCCGCATAGCAAGCTGAAGACAATCTCCAACTCCTCATCTTTTCTTTCCCCTGACTAGCATTCTAAGTTGCTCTGCCACATAAAAAGGATTTCATTGTTCTGTTTAACTCTTACCTATATTCAATGGCTCTGCTGTAATAGATAATAGCTAGATCAAATCTTTCTTTGGAAAACTCTTCATTTCCTTTCATTTTCATTAGTTCTCCTTGCTGAGAAACCAACGTGAAAGAAAATCCATCAGTTAATTGCAAAACACAATTAAGAACCCCCTTACCTATCTATCTTTGCTATCAGAAATAACCCAGGGGGGTCACTTATATAGAAAATGATAATGCAACATTCAATACTTTGGTATGTATATTTAAAGAAACCTGTCTCTAAGGACTTATTGCTAACTTTGTTAAAGGAAACCAAGAAGTGAACAAAACCATCACATCATAGGTAACTGCTAACAAGCTTGCAGGCCCACATTTACATATACTTAGTAAGCCTGCCATACGACGGGAAAAACAGATGCGAGGTAGAACTTTAATTTTAGGCTAGAAAATGTGATAGTGTTCAACAAACCTGGGTGCTTACAAAACAATATGTAATTCAGTAACACATATAGGCAATGATGATTATATTAACTGCCAGAAAAAGAGGCAACAAAGTCAGGAAGAATGAAATCAAAAGGATATCAAAGAAGCTCCAGATATAACTAAAACTTACTTTAAACACTCAAATCTTCAAAATAAATTCACTAAAATAAACTGGATCACATCAATGACTTTAGGGAATTAACTAGAACATTAAATATTTTTAAGTCCTTTTTTTAAAAAAAATTGGTTAAAATCATCTTTCTTATGAGTAATTCTATATGGCATGTGAATTACATCTCAATACTGTTGCCAAAGAAAATCGTATTTACTCAACTAATTAAAACTCTTTTAATTTAAAAAAATCAAATTTTAATTTTTATTAACTCTTTTAAAAACCTCTAACATTAGAAATTCTCAACACGCTATTTTCCTCTTCCAAAAAAATAAATATTCCAATCAAAATTTATTAAAATTTCCCTCAAACATGTTATTGATTTTTATAGTATCAAGTAGCAGTTCTACTGAACTTTCTGAGTGATAATAAAAGTTCTAACAAGCAAATCTTACAATATACTTACAAGTAAATATGTATTCTCACCTGTATACACTCCGCACAAGTTTGTCTTTTAAATTCGTCAAGTATATTGCAGTTTTCTGTTACAACTTTAGTTATGTGATACTTGTCTATTTTTTATTTTTAGGAGAGAAGAGGACATTTATTTTTTTAAAATGGTATTGTTAATGTTCTAATTCTTAGATTAGGTGAATCCATAAAGTTCATTATACTTTTAAATAACATACTCGTTGTAATCTTTTACATGTATCAAGTAGTATATTTAAAAAAAGTAACATTAGATTCATTAATGCTATGAATCTAATCAATTACATCTCTAACATCAAGAAAATACTTGTTTATTATTATATCAGTTCTAACTGTAATTACAACAAATGCCCCATCATAACATATTCCAAATGGGCTGCCTAAACACTTAAGTCAATTCAACAAATATATCTGAGCACCTGTAATATACCTGGCACAATTTCAATAAAAATGAGAAAATCCTGTAAAGCTACTTTCTAAATTAATATAACAAATTAAAAGTTTAAGTGTCTTAATTCAACATTTGACTCTCCTGAATGAAATGTTAAAATTAGACTTTATTTGAAAGACTATTCTTATATCAATTTAATAAAATAATTAAAATGCTATAATAACCAAAATTTACATTAAAAGTTTACCAGGCTTCATTTTCTGTATTTTAAGCTGTTCTATAAAAAGATTTTTTTAAGGTGTTAATAGTTTTATTGCAACAAAAATGTAGTTACACCTCTAGACAAACATTCATTTCAATGGCAAAAAGAGTACCTAAAATGTAAGATTCAGGAAAGGATTTGGGTAAATCACCAAATGAAGTAAAGTAACACTAAGGTACAGACTGAGATTACAGAATGAAAACCTGGGCTTTAAGATTTAAGAGACCCGACTTCTCATCTAGGTTCCACTACTTACTAGACTACAGAAACACCACTTAACCTCTCAAAGTCTTAGTTTGATCATTTCTAAAATAGGAATAACAGCAGCTACCTTCAGAGATGTTTTAAAGAAGAGAGAACAGAGAGAAAGAGTCGAAAGTGAGCAACACGGGTGCCCCATGTTTAAGCTTAATCTTCTCTAACATTTACATCAACAGTACAAAATTTGTCCTCACTGGAGATGGCAAATTCTTATTATCATCTACTGAAGAGTCAAATATTCCTTGTTGTAAGATTCCTATAACTACTATAAAAACATTCAAATGCTTTAGAGAAAAGTATTCCACAAAGTAAAAAAGAAATATAAAGCAGTTTTAATATACATAATAACAGATTCATCAGGGAAATGAAAATTATAATCTTAGCTCTTATTTATTTCTCATACCAGTGAGAATACTAGGTGTACCAGTTAATAATGTGGATTTTTTTTTCACTAGATCGAGCTACACATGTTTATATGCGATTTGATATGTATGCTATTTTGTTGTATTGACAGCAAGCTTCAAAACTTCATATGTCAAATTTCCTGGAGGTATTAATATCATAGATATTTTTACACTTGAAAATGTAGAATTTCGTGACAAAAGAAGAACATTTGAGAGAAGTTGAAGATGCTCCAACTCAAGATACTTGTGAACACTAGTTTAAACGCTTTAAAAGTGATGATTTCAAGACAACCAAGATGGCGGCATAGGTAAGCACCTGTACTTGCTGCCTCTCACAACCACATCAAAACTCCAACTTGCCGAAACCGGTTTGGCTCAGTGGACAGAGCATCGGCCTGAGGATTGAAGGGTCCCAGGTTCGATTCTGGTCAGGGGCATGTGCCTGGGTTGCGGGCGCACCTCCAGTGGGGAGTGTGCAGGAGGCAGCTGATCGATGTTTCTAACTCTCTCTCTCCCTTCCTCTCTGTAAAAAATCAATAAAATATATTTTTTAAAAAACAAAAAAAAACCTCCAACTAAAAGACAAAACAAATATCATCCAGAACCAGAGGAAAGCTGATTGAGTGGAAGCTATACAACTAGAAGGAAAGAAAAAAGCACACTGAGACTGGTAGGAGGTGCAGAAGTGCGTAAGTACGGAGGCACACCTGAAACGGGCTGGCAACTGGGTGCGCTGCTGTTTTTTTCAATTGGGAGGGAGATACAAGCTCCCGATTGCTCTGAACTCCAGTTCCAGGCGAGACACTGGGAACCCAGACTCTTATGGGGAGAAACTGGACTATCTGGCATCGGGCCCAAACGCGAGGGCGGCTTTCTCTCAGAGGTGCTTGCAGTGATCATTGTTCCTGCACGGGGCCACAGGACACAGACCCCGAGACCTCTCTGGGGAAGGGCTGACTGGCAGCCATTGCTGTTTGCTCCGCCCTGGTGATTCCCTGAGACCCGGCCCCACACAACTTACAACCCCACCCAAGCTGTGTGCAGCAACTTTTGCATATGAATGGCCCGTCATTTTGCAACCTAAAACCTAACAAACTGCAGTTCTTGGACTACAAAGCTTCCAAAAGGCCTAAGACCCTGCAACAGCAGCCTACACTGCTTCACAGCTGGGCCTCATCTGGGTACTTCCAAACCCCAAACCAAGAGGAGGAATCTGCAGATCTCTCGGTACCTCGTGCTGGGTGGTAAACAATAGTTATAAGGTTGATCAAAGCTCTTAATGAGAGCTTCAAGAGACTTAGTGAGACTTTCAAAGTTCTTAGTGAGAATTTCAAACACATGAAAAAGGACCAGTCAGAAATTAAGCATATTAACTAAAATAATAATTTACAGGGATTCAACAGAGTAGAGGATTCTGAGAATAAAATCAATGATATGGAATATTGGAAAGCAAAAAACACCCAGTCAGAAGAGCAAAAAAAGAATCCAAAAAGTGTAAGGAGCCTCTGGGACAACTTCAAGTGTACCAGCATACGAGTTATAGGGGTGCCAAAGAAGAGAGAGAGCAAGATATTGAAAACCTATATGAAGAAATAACTACAGAAAACTTCCCCTACCTGGTGAAAGAAATAGACTTACAAGCCCAGGAAGCGCAGAGAACCCCAAACAAAAGGAATCCAAAGAGGACCACACCAAGACACATCATAATTAAAATGCCAAGGGCAAAAGACAAAGAGAGAATCTTAAAAGCAGCAAGAGAAAAACAGTCAGTTACCTACAAGGGAGTACCCATAGGACTGTCAGCTGATTTCTCAACAGAAACTATGTAGGACAGAAGGGAGTGGCAAGAAATATTCAAAGTGATGAATAGCAAGAACATACAACCAAGATACTCTACCCAGCAAAGCTAACATTTAGAATTGAAGGTCAGATATAGAACTTAACAGACAAGAAAAAGCTAAAGGAGTTCATCACCACCAAACCAGGATTATATGAAATGCTGAAGAGTATTTTTTTAAGAGGAAGAAGAAGAAAAAGGTAAAGATAAAAATTATGAACGACAAATACGTATCTAGATTTTTAGATTCACAAATACAAGTGAATCTAAAAATCAAGAGAATAAAAAATCTGATGAACAGAATAAACTGGTGAATATAACAGAGTCAGGGGCATAGAAAGGGAGTGGATTGACAATTCTCAGGGGGAAGGGAGTGTGGGGGTGTGGGAAGAGATTGGACAAAAATCTTATACCTATGGACAAGGACAGTGGGGGAGGGTAATAGGAGTTAAGCTAGTGAATGAGATAGATTCAGGAAGGAGGGGTGAGCACCAGTATGGAATGATAATGCTGTATTGTCATTGCTGATACTGAAGGCATCCGTAAGTGGCTTTAAATGCAAAGAGACTGCTGCTTTTAATTTATGTAAGCACTTGCTCATTTGCGAAGAAAACCCTCAAGATGAATGTAAGGAAGCCTTTTCCCTTAATTTACAGCTGGCACGCTGCTGACTTTTATTGAAACTTTCATTTTTACACCAATGCATATTGGACTCTTCTGGAGTCTCTACTGACAGAATAGGAGGTGATGAATCAAATAGATGAATCTGAGACAGAAGGACAGCTATAGCATCACTTATACTAGGTGTACTGGTTAATAATGCGGATTTTTTTTCAATAGATGGAGTTACACATATGTTGATATATATGTAATTTGATATATATGCTGTTTTGTCATCTTGCTACTTCAGATTACCACTTGTTCCGATCGATGGCACATGCACTTTCTGAGCAGCACTTCAAAATGTACAAAGAAGTGGAAAATTGGGTCTCTGAATAGTTTGCCTCAAAACAAGAAAAGTTCTATTGGGAGGGTCTCCACAAATTATCTGAAAGATGGGGGAAATGTGTAGCTAGTGATGGACATTACTTTGAATACAGCACTTTTGATGTTTCTCTTGAAATTATCGTGTTTTCTTTGATTACAAAATCTAAATTATTAACTGGTACACCTAGTAAATGAGCCCCCGTTGTGGTCTCTTTGGGTATTATATATAACTAGAGCCCCACTGCACAAAATTTGTACACTTGGGGGAGGGGGATGTCCCTCAGCCCAGATTGTGAGAGGGCACAGGTCAGGCCGAGGGACCCTACCAGTACACAATCGGGCCAGGGAGGGATGCAGGAGGTTGGCTAGCTGGGTAGGGATCGAGGGAGGGCTCCAGGGCGTGTACGGCCTGTCTCACTCAGTCCTGATCAGCCGGACCCCAGCAGCAAGCTAACCTACCAGTTGGAGTGTCTGTCCCCTAGTGGTCAGTGCATGTCACAGCAAGCGATTGTGTGGCCTTAACATATTATTAGCATATTATGCTTTGATTGGTTGAATGGAGGACTGGACAACCAGACACTTAGCATATTAGGCTTTTATTACATAGGACTAGAGGTCTGATGCATGAAATTCATGCAAGGGGCTCGGCCCTTGCAGCACTGGCTGCCTTGCGGCCCCACCCAATGGTTGTTCCGAAAGGTCATTCTGGAGGGTCATTCTGCCATCTGGTCTAATTAGCATATTAGCTCTTTATTATATAGGATACCTTGAGTATTATATAGATAACTTATGACATCTATTTGGCAAAAAATTTTAAAGTATCAGTGTTTGAGCACTGACCCATGAACCAAGAGGTCACCAGTTTGATTCTGGTCAGGGCACATGCCTGGGTTGTGGGCTCGATTGCCAGTAGGGGGCATGCAGGAGGCAGCCAATCAATGACTCTCTCATCAATGTTTCTATCCCTCTCCGCTCCTCTCTCTCTAAAATCAATAAAAACATATTTTTAAAAAATTCAAAAAAATATGTCATAGAAATCATTAAGACAGGAAATACAGAATGAAACTAACTACAAGGTTAAAGTTCTTGTATGCAGGCTTTTCCCTTACTCAAAGAAAAACATTTTTTTTTAATCCTAAGATAAATTACTACACATTCCATTTTCCCAACTAATACCTTTAAAAACTGAGTCAAATAACAATCTAAAGCATTTATACTTACATTCAGTAAAGAAAATACTTAACATAGGCCAACAATTGTCAACTTCTCCTAATTTAGATAGAATTGTTACATCGCCTGTGTATTTCACCCAATTCAAAGCTTCTTCCATTGCCAATATATTCTGTTTCAAAAAGAGGGATGTAGAATGTGATTTTGGTATTAATTCTAAATTCACATGTGGCATTATATATTTATGTTATATAGTATTTCTGATTCTTAATATAAAACTTGTAACCTCATATTTTCATTACTCTAGCACAGAACTAGAATAGCTGGACCCCAACATACAAGTTAACAGACACCATAGACTGGTGTATGTTACATTTCAGACCACCTTGGGCCACCCGCAGAGCTCAAGATGCTTTTGCAATGATTAGACCTGACAGATGAGGCCTACTGCCCAGCCCGAGATGACCCTGGGTAGCAGAAGAGTTTAATAAGATGAGATGAACCAGGCGTCTCAGATCTCATCTAAATTAGGACTTCCATCCTTGTCTTAAGTTTAAAGGTATAGATTAAGGTTCACCAAAGGGATTATGGCTTTTAAATGGTCTGTGGCAAACAGAAGAATAGGAGATAAACAAGAGGGTGTAGCTGGGCAAATGAGCACTCAGTGCAATAATGTTCACAGAACTTTCATTTGTACTTGTAGTGTCTGAAATGACTTCAGAAATTAAATAGTGGAGTTATCGGTGCAGATGCTAGGCTTAAGGGAAACGTGTAGAAGTTTATATTATCAATAGCACTAAAAATTGGTTTACTATCGTATGTGACGATTATCTAGTAATGATATAGCAAAACATGTTCATACCAGGGACCTAATAATTTCATTTGGGAGAATATATGCCAGGTAAATAATCTAAAAGAGAAAAAAGAATCAACTTGTAAAAGAGGTTCAAAATTATACTAGGCATAATTTGGGGGGAAATGAAAATTATGTAAATCACCTAGAATAAGGAGAGCGCTTAAGCAAAACATAGAAATCAAAACCACCACACACTACACATTAAGTGTTGACTATGTAGACCCAGACGTGGGCAACAAGCAGCAACTGCATTGACTCACAGTGGCTGTGTTGGGTTCCTGTGTTTAACACTTACGTTTTCTATTTTATAACCAATTCTCAGTAAGCCTCCAATAAAGAAGGAATCGTTCTGCAAAAAAAGAACATAAAACACATTTTTCATCTTTATTTGGTCAATTACACATGAATTTTCCAATGAACAATAAAGTCCTACATTTTAGGAATACATTGTAGTCCACTTTCCACAAGCACTTTCATGCTCAATTTACCGCTTAAGGATCCTAAAACAAGAATTCAGAAATAGTCTCACATTGGGTTCTAATGATAAAAAGACTTAGTGTCACTTCTAGATATATGAATTTTAAAGTTAATTATACCTGTATTTTTATAAGAATACATTGGCTGATATAAGTTACTGCAAAGGATTAGCAACAGAAAATAAACATCAAATGGCCTTTCTAAATTTAAGTATGCAATGAGAATAATACCAAGAAAAACATTTGGTTAATACTTTCAACAATAAGGAATTTAAAAAAAAACCAGTTGGTTCCATAATCAACTGAAGTAAGAAAAATTATCAAATGGCTCTCAATGAAAAAAAAAACAACCCTCAGTGCAGTACAAGGACACCTGCTCAAATATGACACAAACGGAAAAATATTTGCGGTGCTGGTGGTGGTGGCAGTGGCGTGATTTTAAGTCAGAAAACGGAACCCCTCACTTTCAGAACCTGGGACAACAGTTTCTGTGAATGAAGAGTAAACTTTCATTTGTGACAAATTCCAATTTCTATACTCTCCTTAGTAACAGAGAGTATCCTGGTTCTCAAAATGTCCTGTCAGAACCACAAAAATGCTGTCTGCCTGACTTCTCAAATACATAGCACAGACTTATGGACGGCAGCACCATCTCAGGTTAATCAGAACCGAAACCTCCTAACCATTATAAATTAGTCACACAGCCCGACACCATATACTCATAATCTTTAAATAGAGAAGGACAAAGCCATATTCCACCACTTACCATAACTTTCTTCGCCAGATCCACAATATCTTCCATCAACTCAAGATGTTGCAATTCCTTCAAACTTATCTCAGAAGTATGAGAACTGCTTAAAGAAAAATTTATTTTTTAAAAATTAGGTTCTTGTGTATTAAAGTTTACATTTAACTGCATGTCACTCCTTCAAGTTCTGTTCCTTCGCTCTAAGTAACAGTAAGTTTAAGTGGATAAAATATTATACCTTTTCTTGTATACAATGCTGATATTTATAAAAATTCATATAATTTTCCTTAGTTTCAAATTTAGCATCTAATGCTCTTCAGAATTTCATTCATTATATATATTATCATGATTATTCATTCATATCCAAATCCCAAGTACTAACCTTTTCCACTCTACTAAACAAGAATACAACTGAATAGTATACAAGCATGGGACATAGCCTTCCACTGTACTTGGTTGGCATTCCTCAATATTGGCCAATGTGTTTACCACTGTTTATACAAAATGAATAATGTAGTAACTTACGTGGCCTCCACACAGGGGTACAGCCGTGATATTATGGAACTGTGTTGATGTTGAAACAGAAGTGGCCAGAAGATGTGTATTTTAATGGCATCACAGTAATCTCGCAGGATAGAAACTGGTTTAGTACACCACATATTGCAGATGTCGAATTCTTAATTTAAAAATTGTTTAAATTAATATTTTGTGCCCCATTTTGGAATCAATCAACAGTGTTAATAGGAAAAAGCAAAAACAGATTATGGGAAAGTAAGAAATGAATGGATAAAATATTTCAACCTGTTAGATATTAAGAATATTCAAGAGAGCTAAAACTCTATTTTAAAAAAAGGTTTTGTTTCTAATGAAAAAGACTAGAAAGAATAAATTTTTAGCCCTAGCTGGTTTGGCTCAGTGGACAGAGCATCAGCCTGAGGACAGAAGGGTCCTGGGTTTGATTCCAGTCAAAGGCACATGCCTGGGTTTCGGGCTCGGTCCCCAGGAGGGGTTGTGCAGAAGGCAGCCAATCAATGATTCTCTCCTATCATTGATGTTTCTATCTCTCTCTCCCTCTTCCTTCCTCTCTAAAATCAATAATAAAAACATATAAAAATAAAGAAAGAAAAGCTCTTGAGCAAATTGTTACTTTAAAAAAATAATTTTTTAAGAGCTACGTAAGTCTGTTATATTAATGTGAAAGGATGAACTTCATGTGATAGTCTTTTAACAAATTAGTTAAAATACCAGTGTACTCACCTAAGTTTCTCTCACTTTCGGCATAATCTTTATACTGCCTACCCTAAAAAAAAAACAAAAAACACAAACACACACAAAAACCCACATTTGATTTATATCTGATAGGATTCAAAAGCATGGCTCTTGATTTTTAATGTAAAGATTATTAGCACTGAACTAAAAAAGTGCACATTTATTTATACACTTTGAATGCAGCATCTTGTCGCTAGGCCTTTTCCTGGTGTTTCCCTGAGAGCTCTTTAAACTCAGGCAGAAACACCTTCCATCACTCATGCTCTGGCACTGCACCTTCTTGCTGCTGAGGCGCTGCGTTACTCTCCCTTCTGAAATCACCTCTTCTAAAGCATGTGTAGCTCTCCGTAAAAACTCACGTAGCACAAAACACCTATACTCAGATAGCTCTAAATCAAAAATCTTTAAGAGGTAAATCTCAAAAATTCTCATCACAAGAAAACAATTTTAACTATATGTGTTGATGAATGTTAACTAGGTGATTTCACATATATCAAATCATGTTGTACACCTGAAATCATGTTATATGATTTCCACTCTACTCGATTTTTTAAAACCTTACAGTAAAAACCTTTAAGAAGATGTAATATTAAAAACAAAAAGTTAACTAATCTACTTACCACCCCATCACAGAAGAGTTGAGTCACACGAACATAATCATTGGGCATAAATTCAGAAGCAAAGACACTATCGTCCTCAAAAGGGGACTCTTCTAACCAGGCATAGTCTGTGGTGGTGTACTCTCCCAGGGCCAGAATGTCCATGGCGCAGCGTCCTAAGGAAACAACACAAACCCAAGTCAGTGATTAAGTCATTCAGATACGAGAAGCAGTCTGCCTGGCCTCTAGGACATTTTAGAAAAACACCTGGAACTTATGCCCCAAGGAAATAACTCCAATAAGAACACTGAGCTCCTGAGAGATTCTTGTCCTCATTCTGCAATTCCTTCCTCAACCTTCTTCAAATATCAGTTTAATCTATTTCTTCTTTTCCTCAAATTCAAAGTCACCAACCTCTACTCTGAATTTACCTGTTTACACGCCTCCTTCAGATGGAGGATAATGATGGGCATCTTATTCACCTTTTATGTGCCTAGCACATGGAAGCCCTCAAGGAAGTGTTCGCTGAATGAACAAGACATTTTCCACTGCTGCCCTTTTACACCATCCGCTTTTACTGCATCCTGTGAAAATCATTATTTCCCAATCCACACACTGCTACATGCTCAACCTTCTGGCCAGAACTAATCCTGACTCCACTGAGGGAACATTTCATTTCAGCTGCTCAACTGTCCTACTCATCCCTCCGTGTGTTTACGTCTTGGGCAAAGGTGCACAGCCGAGTGGTACAGGGTGAGTGTATCAACCTCTTCTTCCCCACAGCCACACCAGACCTTCCCTCTCAAGAGCTGCTAACCTTCCTGCTTCAACATTTCACAACTACAGCAGTCAGCACCGCTGATTGCAAAGGTGGGCAAAAACCCTCATGTGCAATGGGGAAAGGAAATTAGGGCTTTCCTTTTCAAACTAAGGTTTCTTCCCCTGAAGAAAGTTCAATAATAAGATTTAAAGCTTTCAAAGAAAAGCTGCACAATCTATACATCACTGAAAAATGCAGCATTTCATTACTTCCAACTCTAGCCCAAGTAATGGCTTTCTTTTCCTATCATCAGCACCATTTTTTATACCTTTTGCTTCCCCCCTATTATCTCACTATTGCTATGACAAACCAACTTTCCGTTTTCCTAAGCAAGACCACTATCAGGTCTTGAAACACAAATCATTTCTTTCATTCTTATTACATCCAATTTGCTGTATGAAAAGACCTCACAATATCAGAGGTGAAGAACAACAATCTTCCTGGCAAACTCTGTGTACTATTTGTCACATGTACCCCTTCAATCCTCATAGCAAGTCTTCTCAGTTCAATTGCCATCACCCTCACTGTTCGGATGAGAAACATTCTAGATGAAGTAAGTAATGTGCTCAAGGTCACCAAGCTAGGAAGGATTCAAACCTAGGCCCTCTGATTCCAGTCTCTCCTCTCAAACACTATACTGTACCATATATATGTCTCCTTGTCATTGCCAGCTAGGTACCTCCTGGTTGTCATGTTTAAGAACACGGACAACTAGTTGGGAGTGTTCCCCTCTCCTGCAAATTCTACCATCCCAGCCACACCCAGGCCCATGCAGATGACCCCTTCCGGACCCTAGCCTTGCAGTTTATCTACCTTCTCAGCTAAAATGAACTGTACTTCCCAAGGTCACACCTCAGATCGCTGCCCATTTCTAACCGGTTTTTAAATCTAACTCCCATTGGCTCCTCTGAGAACACCCAAGTGTCATTATAGCTCAAGTCTCCCCTGCCTCCTCCCAGAGACATTCTTCAGCCTCCTCAGGGCTCTTCTTCCTTTTCTCCCATCCAAATCCTCCATTCGCATTTACTTTGTTTCCTACAACTGGGTTTCCACTCCCAGGAAGGTCATTAGTGACCTTCTACAACGGATTGATTATATATAATGTCTGGACCCTGACCTATTCTAGGTCAACAATATTCTGAGTTTAGCATTTAACTCCAAAAGTGAACAATGACTTGAAAAAATAAAGAGACATTTTGGCACCCAAAGTGTGGCATATAATATGGGACCTATGCTATCCTGGGAAATATATACACTTTTAAACTCATTTGTTTTACAAACGGTTTGTGTGTGTAAATACAGAAAGAGCCAAAACTGTCTGTCACAGCCCACACGTCACTGTCATGGCATCGATTACAATACAATTAATGGGCTCACATCGGCAGACTGAGCCACTGGGACATACCAGCCTGGCAGATCTCACCAATACCACCAACTACACTGTAATTACACCTTTGGTGTAATTTTTATTTTCTATTTTGTTTTAACCAGAAAGACGATATGGCATAGTGGTTAAGAGCATGGACTCTGGAGCCAGACTGCATGGGCTTGAACCTGGCTCTCCGATTCCCTCAGTGTGTGATCCTGAGCAAGTTACCTGACCTCTCGGTGCTTCAGTTTCCTCACATATCAAATGCAGACAGCACTACTACCTGCCTGATTACCCAGTTAATAAATTTAAAGTGCTTAGGAGAGTACTTCAGCACACAATAACTGCTATAAATACCAACTATCATTAACATTAATACTAGATGAGTCTTTTTTCTAACCCATTGTTTGGATGCTTCCAGCTAAACGGTCGACCTCAATTGCTAAATCCAAAGGGCACTTTCCAGCTTACAACTTACTTGACGCTGTTGACCACTTCCTCCTTCTCAGAACTCTTCATCTGGACTCCAGAGACCATCTTCTGGTTCTCCTCCTATTCTTCTGGCTGCGCTTCCTCAGTCTCCATGGGCGGCTCTTCTCCATTCCCCGCCACCCAAACGTCAACTCTCTTTTCTTTTCACGCTTACCCTCTCCGTGGGTGATCTTACCCACACACCCATGGCTTAAGATAGCACTTTCTGAACTTCCATCATTTGCATAGCTTCACCATGATTGTTGCCATTTCCACATGCCACATGTATTTTTATTTACTTGATATTTCTTTTATTGGTCTCGCTTGGCCTAATTGATAATATCCATGATGTCCTAGGTTTGATGTACAATGTATGCTTTTCATACACATTAAATTCCTAACTATTCAAAAAATTGTGTTTATTTATAACCAGTTTCGGTTATCTCATACTACACAACATTGGAAATGTCCAAATGCTCAGGCCGCTCAAAGCTCTCGAAGCCTGGGTTGTATCTCATGATTCCAGAACCTGTCAACTGCTACTGGATTTAACCTAGATGTCCCACAAGCCTCTCAGATTCAATAAGTTGAGAGACAAACTTACCGTTTTCCTCAAAAATAAAGGAAACCAAGTTCTTTCCTCTTTCTGTATATCATCAGTTAAATGCTCTACCTGCCACCTGCTTACCCAAACCAGAAACCTGGGGGTCAATCTAGACTCCCCAGTTTCTTTCAACATTTCTACCCAACTGACCACAAAGTCTTGTCATTTCTACTCCCCTAAGAAATCTAAAATTAGCACACATACACCTCTTCATGCCCAGGGCTGCTGCCTTAGTTGTAGCTTCATCTTTCTCCTCTGAACTGATTTTGCAAGCAAGTCTCCTAACTGCTGACATGCCTGCAATCTTGGCATCCTCTAAAACTCTGATCACAACACCATTCAACAGCTTCTCTTCATCTTCAGGATAAAGTCCAAACTCACTAATGTAGATAGAAGGCCTTCTGTGATCCTGTTCCTGCTTTTGTCTCCACTCACTGCATGACACTCAACTTACAAGCCAATCATACTCAGCAACTACCTGTATTCCTAAACAAACCGTATGCTGCCCACCCAGTGCCTCCCAGTCCTTAATACTAAATCCCAGGAAGCCTTTCCTGATCTTCTTGCTACCACCAAGTTTATTGCTGTACCTCTTCTCTGGCATCCTGGAGTACCCTGCCCATATCTTCTGACAGCAGTTTTCACAGTTTGGTCATCACAGATTTATCTCTGTAGGTTCACTATGGGTCCAGAGGGTAAACTGTGCCCTACCCATCTTGATTCCCTAGACTGTTTCCCAAATTTTTATTCACATTCCCCAAAGTAGAAAACTTTGCCAAATCACCTACCACCTGTACTGTAATTTATTTGATTTTTTTTTAAGAATAACTTCAATATAAACATGAAATAGAAATTTTAATATCACCAAGAAATCTTAAGTTTGGTATGACAGAATATTTTTCTAGTACAAACTAAAATATTTGAATAAAATTAATTATTAAAGTAACTGACTTATTGACTCTATCACTACAAAAAAAAGTGGGTCCTAGTTTTTAAATATTTTTATTTTGCTGAGTTGATAGAAATAGGGACTATTCAAAGCCACCCTTACCCTGCAAAAAACAAAACCCTCTTGCTAGAACTAAACCTAGCAGTCAAGAGCTACATATAGTAATGCCAAGAACAGTAGTTGGATCAGGACACTGAGCTCTGGACCAGAAACAAATGAGGGAACCGAAAAGTGGTCCCACGAAAACTCCTCAACGCCAGTCAAAGCTGATATATAAATCCTATCAGAAGAAAAGCACCCCGCAAACAGACTCTCAAGAGTCCCAGAGAAAGATCAGCTAGGAGTTCATAATCGAAAATCACTAAATGCAGAAAGTTGCAGTCCACCATGAGGGAACACAGCAGAAAAAAAACAACAACAAATTTAGACCTCCTAAGTACATCAGACACTGGGATTGCCAATACAGTCTACAGAATATGTATGGATTCAAAAAACTGAACCAGAAACATTAGACCAAAGGAAAAAATAAAAGACTGGGTATATCTTAGAAAGAACTAAGTGAAACTTTTAGAAACTTAAAATATAGTTGTTAAAAGTAAGAGGAAAAAAAATGGATGGGTTAAAGAGAAGATTAGACACAGCTGAAGAAAAAATTAATGATCTAGAAGATGTGCCTGGTGAAATTACCCAGGATTGTATATTCTGGAAAAGAAACAAGGAAATAAAAATATGAAAGATAAAAAGTAAGTGATCTGCATACACTCTGATACATATATATTCAGTTAAATTTCCAGAAAGAAAGAATAGGTAAAGCCAGAGAGAGACAAATGTAAAGAACACATGCCTCAGAATATTCTACACCCATGAAGACAAAGTTCAGAATCAGAAAATATGGGTATATAAAAGAGGATAAATAAAGAATAATCTCCATCTAGAATTAGAAGTGAAAGGTCATAACATCAAAGACAGAAAATCCAATGTAGCCAAAAGAAAAAGAATATTTTCTTCAAAGCTTAATAAGCAAAACTGGCAGCAGAACTTGCATGTAAAACATCTTCACTATGCAGACAGAAAATAAACTATCAATCTAGAAGTGTATATGCCTCAAAATTATCTCTCAGGAACAAGGGTAAATAAAAGTAATTTTAGATAAAAACTGGATTTAACCAAGATATCCCAGAGTTGACACCAAGAGATTGAACTAACTTCTTAGAAAATAGTAAAGACATAGTCTCCGTGAATTAAAAGAGAAACCCAGAACTATTTTCTTTATAAGAGACACATAAAATATAAAGATAGTTTTTAAAGTGACAGTGAAACAAAGGAAAAGAATATTCTGTAAATTACTACCAAAAGAAAGGTGGGATAGACAAAACATTAGGCATGGAGAGGATCACAACATATTTCCACTAGGAAAATAATAAGCTTGCATGTATCTCATCAAATAGCCTCAAAATACAGAAAAAGAAAAAGTGTTAGGACTACAAGAAGTCTATTAGAATAGTGGACACTGCAACACATCTCTCTCAATTAGGTCAAACAAACAAAAATTAACAGACAGTCCGAACAACACAATTTACCAGCTTGACCAAGTGGATACATAACAATTAGTATACATAATCTTCACAGGTACACACAGAATAAAATTCACTATGTACAAGACCATAAAGCAAGGGCAAACAATTTTTTAAGACAAAATGCACATTATGTTCTCTGACAACAATTAAGAAATGAGTAAAAAGAAAAAATGTTAATGTAAATAAGTTTGAAAATTTAAAAACATTTAAGTCAAAGAAGAAATCAAAATGAACACCTAAAAAATGCTTAGATTTGAAAGTTAATTAAAACACTATAAATTAAATTATGTTAGATAAAGCAAAAATGACCTTTGAAGAAGTTTATGGCTTTATATGCTTATACTGGGAAAAGGAATAACTAAAAATTAATAAGCATGCAATTTAAGTTTAAAAATAATGTAAAAATAAACCCAAAGGAAGAAAATAAGAAAAGATATCAATGAACTAAAAAAAACAAAAATATAATAGAAAGGACTACTTAGGCCAAAAATTATTCCTCTGCCAAGATTAATTAAATTAATTAATCTACTTGATTAATTAGTTTTTGCAAGACTAATCAAGAAAAAAAAGAGTAGTCACACACAAATAACAATCACAATAAGGGAACACAATCACAGATAAAATAGATTTAAGACAATAACATAAACTTGATGCCAATAAACCTGAAATTTTTGTTGAAAGGTCACATTTCTAAAACTTACTAAATTGACTAAAGGAAACACCTAATTTCAACTGCTAATTTCTACTAAATTATTAACATCTGCAATTCTTCCACAAAGAAAACATTCGCTCTGACAGTTAAATTCCGCTAACTTTCAAGAGACAAATCACTCCATCCAAACTGGCTCAGGAAAGAGAAAAAGAGGACCTACTCTCTAACTGGTTTAAGGCATGTGTAACCTTAATACCAAAGTCAGACTGGACAGTCAATAATGAACAATGGCAGGTGATTTCATTCATAAGGCAAATACAAAACTCCCAAGTAAAGTATCAGCAAGCTCTATCTACTAGTTTGCAAAAAGACAATTCACCAGTAACAATTTCGGTTTATCTCAGGAAGGAATGTAAGAATTAAGAATTTTAAAATGTGTTAAGTGGAATCCATTACATTTAACACATTAAAGGAGAAAAAACTCAAGATATTCTCAACAGATGCAGAAAAGCATGTGACAAAATCACAAAGACTTCCCTAAGTTAGAGTATCTACAAAAATTCATAACATTGTTTTTAATGGAGAAGCATTCCCTTAAAAGTCAGGAACAAGACTTTTATGTCCACTATAATCACTTCTAATGCACAACCATAATCACTTCCACTAAACATAGATCTAAAAGCATGCCAGCATATTAAGACAAAAAAAAACAAAAGGGAAAATTGAAAGAACTCAGAGTCACTATTTGTAAATGATATAATTATCCACATAGAAACCCAAAAGAATTACAGAAAATATTAGAAACAAATAGATGACTAAAAATCAGTATTTTAAAATCCATTAACTCTCCATTTGCCAACAATAAACAGAAAATAGAATCTTAAAAAAAACAAGTTTATAATAGCAAACAATAGACATTGATATCTTTTCTTATTTATTTTCTTCCTTTGGGTTTATTTTTACATTATTTCTAAACTTAAATTGCATGCTTATTAATTTTTAGTTATTCCTACTAGAAACATCAAAATCAACATTTAAAAACTGTTAGATGTGCCCTGACCGGTTTGGCTCAGTGGATAGAGCGTCGGCCTGCGGACTCAAGGGTCCCAGGTTCGATTCTGTTCAGGGGTATGTATGTTGGTTGCTGGCCACATCCCCAGTAGGGGGTATGCAGGAGGCAGCTGATCAATGCTTCTCTCTCATCGATGTTTCTAACTCTCTATCCCTCTCCCTTCCTCTCTGTAAAAAATCAATAAAATATATATTTTTAAAAAACAACTGTTAAATGTGTATTACACATCTAACAGGAGAAAATTACAAAACTCTATTAAAAGACATTTAAAACCTAAATACATAGAAATACCACGTTCTCAGACAGGAAGATTCACAATCTTAAAGATTTCAATTCTCCCCCGAACTTATTCAATCAATTCCAATTCATTCCCAAAGAATGTTTCATGTCAGGTGACAAACTGATTCTTAAAACAAGAACAAAGATCCAACAGCTGAGACTCAAGTCCCACCACCCCCCCCCGCCCCGCCCTCAATTATCAAGATTTCTGGTTACGCTATAGCATTAGAAATTAAGACAGTGGCATCAACACAGACATAGGCAAGTGGACAAGTGGCACAGAAAGGTTAGCCAGAAACAAAGCCATGCATATAGAGAGTAAACATGAAAAGGAGGTGGTTCAGGGTATCACTGGTAAACAGAGAATCATTTCAATAGACGATCAGAGGACAACTGTAGCCACTTGGGGGAGAGGGGGGTGAAATGAGCATTACTGCCTCACACCATACACAAAAATCAATATAGATGGATTATGAAGTTAAATGTAAGTCCCATCATTTTAAAACTTCTAGAAAGGAACACAGGAGAATGTCTCTACAATCCCAGGGCTAATGGAAAGTTTCCAATTAGACTACATTAAAACTAAGAACTTCTGTTCACCAAAACAAAAACACAAAAACATCAAGAGTTAAAAGATAGGTCACAGAAGGTATTTACAGTGCATATAATCAATAAAGGGCCGTTGTTACAGTTTATTAGTTTTTAAAAGTCAACCCAATAGAAAAATGGGTAAAAAATACGCCAGGTATTTCACAACAGGAAAACAGAAGTTTTGTAAACATGAAAAGAAAACTCATTAATAATCAAAGAAATACAAATTAAAACCACAATGATACATCACTTCATACCCATTTGATTGGCAAATATTAATAAGTCTGATGGTAACAAGTGTTGGAGAGGATATAGATCAACTAGAACTCTTACACACTGCTAATCAAAGTATATAATTTGACAAACTGCTGGCCAAAGTACAAGGTAATACAACCACTTCAGAAAACAATTTGGTATCACTTTGTAAAGTCCGACATTCATGACCCATAACCCACAATTCCACTTCTACCAGATAGCTTATCACAGTGGTGTCCACCCCTTTTTTATTCACAAACCATCAAAATGCCTTTAAAAATTACATACTCTTCATAGTTTAAGAAGACAATGAAAATTTTTTGCCTAAATTTAAATGAACTTCTGGAGTATCAGTGACATTTTAAAATAAAAGTGAAATATCACTGGTTTAAATTGTATTATAATTACTGCAGCAAAGTTAATAAAAATACTAACTATATACAGTGACAATTACACATAAAAAGTTAAAAATTTTTGGAATGCAGCTCCTAAGGAGATGGGAAGTGCCTGCTTTGAAAGAGGCTTTCCCTAACACCAAACACTGTATTTTAAAATGATCCCTTTTTGTGTGTGGTTTTCCCACTTGGGGTAACGCTCTAGGCAGATTCCATGTGGCTGAGTGTACTGTGAAAAGAAAGGGGGGAAACCAGAACCAGAAGGAGGCCACTGTGATAAGCCGTGGGCATTACCAATTTCAGGAAGTACATATGAAACCTGACCTATAAGTTGATTCATAAACATGACTTGTGCCCAAGTCCTCCCTAGAAAATCATCATCATTCCCTGGGCAGCATATACCCAGTGAGAAAATTAGAGAAATTCTTGCAACTGTGTCCTAGAACATATGTACAAGAACCTTCATTAACAGCAAAACCTAGAACCAAAATGCCCATCAACAGAAGAATGCATACAACTGTGTTATATTCGCCCATGGAATATTACACAGCAAAGAAAAATGACAATTTAAATCTATACTTGTTTTGAGAGAAATAAGCAAGTTCAAGAAAAACTGTATCCAGTATTCCTTTTTTAAAAAACTCAAAAACAACAGATACCATATATTGTTGACGGATGTATACATATCTGATAAAATTATTTTTTAAGAAGCAATGAATAACACAATTCAGAAGATAAGTCACTCTGAAGGTGAGCACATTCAATACAGGTTTTTTTGTGTGTGTGTTTGTTTTTTTGGGAATGAGTGGTGGATCTATGTATTCATTTTATTATTTGACTTCACAAGTTAAGTAGATTATATATATTCTGAATGTATCAGATATTACATTAAATAAAGAAAAAAAGATTTTTAAAAACAATTCATCATATGAAAAAAAGTAGTTAAATCACCTCACCTGCCACTAGAGAGGTACATGATGGAAATTATTACCTTTATATCAACCACAGGAACTGACATACATTAGGCACAAAATAAATGTTTTTGCAATTCATCTTATGAGGACCAAGTTAGACAAAGACTGAGCCAGTTTGCTGCTTGAGATGAACCCGGCTAGAGCAGAAGCCAAATTTAGCCACAAGCTAAAGTTATAAGGTAGCTGGTCATTAAAGAGAAGGCAGAAATGTAAATAAAAGTTAGCAAGGATGTGAGAAAATGAGCACCCTCACTCAATACCAGTGAGAGTCACAATTAGAACCACCATTTTGAGAGCTTCTGTGATTTTTGGTTAAGTTGAAAATGCACATATCACTACTATCCTGCAAAGGACTAGGTGTATTTCCCGGAGAGATTTCCAAATGTGTGCACAAGCGTACAAGCACAAAGATGTTTATTGTGGGTTTGTTTTTAAGAGTAAAAAACCAGAAACAACCTCAAAGTCCATCAACAGAGAAATGGATAAATAATGGTATATTCATACAATGGTTTTCTGTACCAGCAATTAAAATGAACGAACCAAAGATTACTCAAATTTCCAATTTATTTGTTTATAAATATCAAAAGGTAATGCTGATTGAAAGAAAGCAAGTTGCAAAAAGATACATTTTTTTCATACCGTTAAAGTTTAAAAACACACTATATTATTGCTTATGGGTTCACCGTGATCCAAGTATACTGGTAAAATATGCAAGGGAATGATATTCACAAACCTAAACACGGTGGCTACCTCTACGGAAGGAAGGGGAGGAAATGAGACCATCTCCAATACCTACAATTTTAGTTCTTTAAAAAAACGAATCTAAAGTAACTGGCAAAATTATTACATCTGTAAATCTGAGTCAAGGATTGGTTAGACACCCTCCCTTAGTATTACGTATATGAAATATACCAGAAATTAAAAGGGAAAATTAGGCAAGAGTAAGACAATCAAGCAAATGAACACCAAAACGCAGCCCTTGAGCAGAGAGCAGGCACCTTTCTTTGCACAAGAGGAGTAGTTGGGTCCCTAACGGACTTTAAGTTTCTTTCTCTGCATATCCTGATAATAAATCCCATTTCCCTTAGAATAAAAATGCCAATTTCTTGTAATAATAATAATAAAGTCCTAGCTGGAGCTGGAACAATGAGAAAATTGCTCCCAGAGGAGGAGGAGTACAATCTTAAAACGTCTGCCTGGTTGCCCTCGCCAGGATGTTGGGCATGGAGAGAGAGAATTTACGTGAACGGCATCAAACACTGCGTGAGCCGTTCAGTATTAGCAAGAACGCCAGGGCCGGCTAGATGTTACTGATTTTGCAAATATTGGAAAAAGCCTGCAATCCAAGCAGGGCTCTGGGGGTGTAGGGCGCCTCTGGAAAAGGCACGCATGGTAGCGCCCGAATCCACCTACGCCTCCGCTTCATTCTGGGGCGCGGGCCCCCCTCGTGAATGGGCGGGCTCGACGCGGGAGATGCCGTCAGCAACACGCAGCAGCTGGCGGGACGCAGCAGTCCCCCCGCCCCGTTAGCTCCGGGGGTGGGGGAGGCTCCGCAGAGGCGTCAGAGAGGGGAGGGCTCAGGGCTCGGGGCTCGGGGCTCAGGGCTCGGG